TAACTGGCGTCCGCCATGTCAGTACCGGATTGTTATTCTCGTCTCCATCCAGCTCCGCCCGTCTCAATAAACGGCCAACAACGAATTCCACTTGATAAATATGATCACCGTATGCAGCCTTCTCCTCGTATTCCAAAGTAGCTGTCGCCAACACCTGAACCTTATCGTTTGCGGCCGTGGCGGGAGCATCCTCAATATCCGTTACTTGAGCGCTGCACCACGTTGCTTCGTCGTCATCGTCTTCCAACATCCATAGAACCTCGACGAAATCATTCGGTAGAGGCAGCGCTTCTCTTTCTCGGCATGCCCGAAGGCGTTGCATTCCTCTGTCAAGGCGGACGCCACTTATCTTGTCGAAGATACGCGATAGGCGATCTCTGAGATGTTCCGGACGGGAAATAGCCTTGTCGTGTGGCGAGCGCGGATTCGGTCTGGGCATACCCCAGATATCCGCAATCCAAGCATTCTCCGGGGAGAATTTTATTGTCCAACGACTCATTCAAGCACTCCCGAACAGGAATTTTCTAACAAAATGGAAGAGTCGTGGCCACTCACAGTACGTTTGTGGGCGTTTTCACATTGATATTCACCAATACTGTAATGGGTGGCCTTTAGGCCGGCCGGCCAACTTTTTCACATGCTGTTATAGCTGCAGGTTCTTCGTATCCATAAATTGAGGAACACTGCCCCTTTTTCCCAATGTCGAATACACGGGCCGCCAAGAAACGTGCTATACCCGAAGCAGCCAATGCTTCACCAGACTCTAAGAAGATGCGTCGCAACAGTTCGGAGGTTCGTCGCCGGCCAAACGTTTCTCCGCCCAAAACAAGGGCTATTCTCTCGCAGTTGACCCCTCGAAACAGCCGTAGAAGATCCCCCCGTAACCGGGCGTTAGCCCGGAAGTCTCGGGGAGCGGCCGCTCCGGAATCCAACGCAACGCAGGGTGATGAGCGCCCAGTCACGACTGTGAGATCGTCAAGGCGGGTGCTTCATTTGCAGAATGAGGAAATGGTACCTAGACAAGCGCGAGTGCACCCAATTACCCCAGAAATCACACCAGTCAAAAACCTGATTCCCCGTCCGGGGCAAGAGGATACATTAGAACCATCACCCCGACGTTCACCCAGAACAAAAACGGCGTTGCAAGAGCAGCCTGTTCGCAAAGTGCCAGAAATGATCATGGATTCAGACGATGAAGAAGATGAGGATTTGGCAGCTGAAGGCGCTGAGAGAGAAGCAGAAATGGAGAGACGTGACCGCGAAGAAAAAGATAGATTCAGACTGATGGAACGACGCGCACGCATCTTGGAATCAGACGCCGAAAGTTTGTTTGAGGAAGAGGGTTCCACAGCTATGGCTGAGCGCGGCGTAAGAGAGCTTAAGAAACATCTCCGGGCGGAATACTGTTCGGAAAGCGATGACGGGGGAATTACGGAAGTTCCTGGGACAAGCGTCAGCCGACACCAGCCTTGAGACGACCTGGATATCGATATAGAAAGCACGGAACAACCTCATGCATTGGGAGCGGTGACAACTACAAATTCCATTTTACAGTCCATGTTCCGAAAACTCGAGGGCGTGCTCAATGCAAGGCTCAATACGCTGACAAACAGTCTTGTTGAAAGAATGGATAAGACAGACAAAAGATTTGATGAGGTGGGCACCCAGCTAGCAGATATTCATGCCATTGTGTCCAGAACAAACACGTCTAACAAATCCACAGACACCCCCCTCAGCCGATTTAACAAGCTTCTGGACAAACTCACTCCTTGTGATGGCCTTGTTGTCAACCGAGATGCTTGTAATCGAATTCTATGCAGCATCGTACCCTTCGAAGTTCTTCGGACAGCTCGTGATAACACCTTGGCCAAGGAACGGGTCTTGTTTCGTTTTTCAACTGCAGTACAGGTTTTGCTGTGCGGGAAAAATCCAAGGGAGACAAGAAAGCAGTTCAGAGAGGGTATTAGCGGACGCCACAGTCGCTTCAAGAAGAATGTTGTCCTCAACTTCATATACAATGTGCAGCTGAACAGCTTTGGAATGTTTGCGGATGACGGCGAGGAAGGGGAGGCCAGAGCAGATCAGAATGTTATCGCAGCCGACGCCGTTCGTGAAACTGCTGAAAATTCTGAGGGCCGCACTTGTAAAACGGACACTCCCGTCGATTTCAGTTGCACCGGGAAAGCTGTGAGTTTGCGCCAACCAGACTGGCTGAAGAAAGGATTCATCCTTGAAACGGACATCGAGCACGCCAGGTTGGTGCAGGATTACAGTAAGTCTGAAGCCTCGAAACGTAGACTGAAGGATGTCGAAAGTGAAAGTGATTCTGGGGAAGAAGAGGATGGTGAATACACGCCCGGGCCCGGGAACATGCAAGCGCCAGAGAAAGTTGTGGTAAAGGAGGTTCCGACGACGCGGGACGTTGCCAGGCACGGAGCTTGGAAGATATACAAGCTTATGGGCAAGCACTTGAACCAGTCCAGGAAGAAGTGCAAGTCAGCATTCCTCGAACAATTAGGTTTCCTGATGGTGCCATGGTCGGGATCTGGTGTGTCAGTTGATCAATCAAAGCTTACGGTTCGTTGGGGGTTCCCAGAAGTTGATGCTTCCAAGTCAACGGGCGGCCGCCTTCAAGACATCAAAAACACAAAGACGAAGTCTTCCGGCGATATAAACCTTAATGAATACAATTCCAACCTTCTGAGTGAGCTGTACGGGAAGCGACAGGACATGATTCTTGTTGTTTCTCACGAGGTACAAGTGACTGAGGCCTTAGGTTCGTCTAAAAGAAAGAGAAACAGAACGAAAAAGAGAGTTATCAATAAAGCTATCAACGTTGTGGAGGCGGCCGCCAAGTTTTGCACGGAGTTTGCGCAAAGTTCCGATTCGGAAAGAAGTCCACTCTCATTCCTCCTTGGTCACAAAGATGCACTCTGCTGTATTCTCGGAATCGCCTTAGTCTTCAAAGACTTGACGTCTCAGTTTTTGGTGAAGAACTGTGAAAACGGTCGCGTCCGTGATATCAACAACATGGACACCACAAGTATCAAATGTGGAAATTTGAGACTATCCGAGCTCATACCAGGTCGTTCATCACAGATCAGATCCCTTTCGGGGACAGTTCTCCGCATGAAGGATAATTTGTACTGCAAGCTAAACGTTGGGGCGAGTCCTCGCAATGATGGTACTGAAGCAGGTGTGAACGGTGTCGAAGGGCAGCGTACCAAGGACACATCAGCGCGAGAGATACAGCCTTCAGTGGATGGCGGTGTGTTCGCCATTTAGCATAGGTACAGTCAATGAATCTTTACTTCACTTTGGCCAAAGTGTTTACTAGTAGTCATTGTCCATACTCGAGCGCCTGAATCTGGTCCTCTCTGGTTCCGGAGCAGTCCATTCCCTCTGCCGAGCTCGACCACGAAACGGAGAAACATCATGGCAACCGTATCCGTATAGAAGTTCATCGTTTGCTTCTATTCTCTGCCCTGTGCCATAGCCAATGCCTTGACGTTGATATCGTTCACGATTATCCCGTCCCTTACTAACCCACTCGTTCCGATCTCGCCAGTCCCCTTCATCTATAACATAATGATGGCGGCCGCCCCTTTGTTCTCCTCTCCTGTCATCATTGTATCCATCATATCCGCTGTCCGTCCTCTGGGGCGGGTGTGCATGAGGTACATTGAACGGGCCATGGAACGGGGTTATACTCGGCCTATGGTGTAAATTTTGGCGCGGACAGCCGACGGATGCCCAGTTGCCGTTCCATTAAAGAAGCTGCGCAGCGATTCATTCTCCTGCTGCAGCCTGCCCACTTCTTGAGAGATCTGATCAACAGTTCTGATCGTTTTGCTTGCTCTATCATACAGCAATGATACCAGCCCTCTAACAGTCAGACTACCGTGGAGGTCCCACTGCTTGGCAATGACGAGCGCGGGAAGGCCTTCCACTAACGACAAATCCTGTGGATGAAGACTTAGGGCCATAGGCGAGGACTGCCTCTCCTCCATGCGCCGCTGCTGACGCGCAGCCAACCGAATCCTTCTCGATTTGAAAGAAAGGTATCGCACTTCTCCTCCTGCCTTCCTCATATCCGCCTCTCCTGTTCCATGCAACGCGTGGAAGTACACGCAGTTAGATAGATGCGGATTTGTGCTCACCATATAGCATTCCAGATGTAGTGGCAGCTTATGCACAAACTCCATGAGAAGAAAGAGCATCTGGCTCCCATTCACCCACCTCACATCCTTGCATACGTCCTTCAGCACTGTAATGGTACCTTTGTCCACCAAGAATAGGCCGCCGCCCCTTGTTGCCTCGTTGAACCAAAACGCACAAAACATGGTGCATATCTCCATGCGAAACATTTGCCAAAGCCTGCGACATCTTTCTGACATCACGCCTCCCTCCCTTACGACCATTTCTTCATGGTAGTAGTAGATGACCGGCGGCAGTGGTAGCGGAACTCCCTCAGGGAACTTCAGAGCTTGCAGCCACTGTGGGCATTGGGGAAACACCTCTTTATACGAAGCATCGTCAAAGTACATGGTCTCGTAACAGTCGAAAGGTATAAGCAGTCCATAGCGATTCCTCGTATAGCGCTCGTATGAGAAGTTTGCTCTGTGCTTGAAAGCATTCCACCAACGCCCCATCAACGCCATCCGGAGAAGTAGAACAATTTCCGCCTAGTCTGCAAACGAATGTCTTTTACCCTATGCCATTAACCGATGGAGAGTTGCTGCTAAAGTATCTTCTGCCGATGACACCATCGGCAAAAGAATAGCCAGTATTGATCCCAAGTGAGGCAACATGCGCTTTGGACCAAGATGCAGTAGAAAATTAGTCCATGCCTTCATCGTTTGCTGATGGAACCACAGGCTCTCTCTTTCAAGTTCTGCGGCCATTTTCAAGGTGGCGAGAATCTTGGGGACGTAGGCGTGCAAGCGCTCATGGGCGAGGCCAATCACACCATCCAGCATGCGCAAATAATGCATACGGTCCTATTCAGAGGCCTTGGAACTAAAGAGGCCTCGGTTTACAGCATCCATGACAAGCATGAAGTGCGTAGATACCAAGGCTCCCACAACATTAGGTTCTGTACTGCTTCCTTGTCGGGAGATTGGAAGAATCTGGGCTACTGAGAATAGCGCCCGCCTAGCCTGAAGATCTCTTTCTCCACCAATGTCCATGATTATTCTTTGTACAATCTTTCCGGCACGTTTGCGAACGGTGGTTCCCAAAGGCATTCCAAGCGATTCTAAAATAAGGGCGTTCGCACCAGTCGGCCTCACGTCAAAACCATCCATGTCTGTCATCGCCGCCATACCCAGAGCATCAGCGCAAACTTGATCGACAAGATCCTTCTTGGATTGATTTACACGCAGAGCTAGAGACTCCAAACCTACTGCGTCCCTTTGTCGAAGTAACAGACTAACGGCGTACCTCGGGACCTTCTTCCATAATGCCTCAACGTTTGGGCAAAGCAAGAGAACCCTTAATGCTTCTGTGAAGGAATCGTTTTGCAGCATTCGGCAAACTGTGAATGGAAGCCACTCGGATAAGCTGGAACTCAGAAACCTTGATAGTTGCAAAGCAATGGGACGACGACCGTAGACAACTGCTTCCCGGCTTTCGACCAGATTGGGTCCAATGGTAGTGCCGGCATCGCAGTCTGTCGGGTCTGTCGGTTTCCACGCCTTCAGTGAGAGGGTATGTACTTGTGCGGCTTTCTCCGATTGAGAATTCAAAGAACCCTGCCAATGCTGCAGTTCTGAAATTGCGGCAGCCAAGAGATAGTCTGCTGCCAGACCTTTTATTCGTGCCATGGGAATCGCATCTGAACGAAGACCCAAAATCAGTCCGAGAGGACCAATATCTAACTTCTCAATGTCTTTCGCACCGGCCGGATTAGAAGCGCCCACATCACCTGGCAGCGGCACGTCATCCTCTCCTTCTGAATCCGTCATGGAGAAGCGGGAGGCGTCGTCGTCATCCTCCTTGTCGTCTGCGGACCCAGATGGGAAGTCCTCGGGCTTGGCGTATCTTTGCACGTACTCGCGCACTTTTTGTTTGTACCGGTCTGGCTCCCGCATCTGAAGGGCCGCAGCCTCCCCATTGAGAGGGTCGGTCGGGTTTGGATAGGTCAGAAGCTGCGGGAGGAAGACTTCAAAAATGTTAGTTAGGTCGTACATAGGGCTCCACGTTTGGTTGATCACGTCCAGGCACACGCTTCCAGACCTGTCAACATTACAAAATAAAACGCACTCCCCTGTTAGTATATCCAGACATATCGTAGGGGGAAAAAGAGGCGGAAGGAGGAGGACATACATTTCATCGACGTTGGGGTGGTATAATCTGTTGATGAAACCAATACTTGGGCTCTTGTATGGGTAGTTCTCCGGCAGCTCTACATGGACTTTCCAAACTCCTCCCTCGTACGGAGCTGTGAGTCATTACCAAAGATGAAAAACAGGCGTTAGTACGGTTCCCCACGCAAACAAAGCACGGCTAGTACTACAAAAGCAGAGGAGCGAGGGACAACCTACTTTGCTTGGGTCCGTGAAACTTGACGTAGAACTTGCCGACGCGGTCCCCATCTGCCATCTGAATCTCGTGGTCTTGCCTGTCAATGTGCTGCACTTGTCGAAACGGCTCATACTTTGCCTCATACCCCTTAACATCGCTGCGAGGGCAAGGAGCTCACCGTGTAAATGATTTTGCTGTCTTATTCGAGGGGTGGGGCCGGTGCGACAGCGAGGGCGTGGCTTGCGTGAGAGGGCGCAGAGAAAGACAGAAGCAGAGAAGGACGGGAGGAGATGCGAGGGCAGTGGTCATGGTGGATTAGTGAGGGGAAAGAAAGAGGAGGTTGGGGGATACCGGAGTAAACAACGGTGGACAGAGAAAGGCAGAGTTAATACCCTGTACTGTTGTGTGTATCCGACCGACCAAGCTTATCATACCTCAACAGATCCGACAAATTTAATAAATTTTCATCATTTAGCCGACACGAATTCTTCTGAAAGAATACTTCAAGACAGCCATATCGTACTTGAACGGCGGGGTTGTCAATGAAATACCTTGTAAATCACGAAGAAGCCATTTTCAATTTCGTACTACAAAGAAAACTGCTTACAGTGAATATTTCCAGGTTCTGCTTCACTTTTAGAGGTAGAACTTGTCTCCACAACAAACGATTTATTCTGATTGTGTCAAGGGCTATGTGGAGTACCCAGTAGTCAATCAGAACTAAAAAACAAGCAAGGAGTTCGAAGAAAAATCCCTTTGTCCTCAAATTTTGTCCTCACGGTCGGATAGACACTAGCAGACCGCCACTTGTAATGTAATTATTTGGTGTGCAAAATCTAAACCACCAGGCCTGGGGACCCCTGCGCACTGTTTCTTCAACAACATCCTACACTCTCACTTCTTCCAACACCATAATCCACGCGAAAATATCGGACGACAGCACCACCGTTCTTCATATGTCAGGTCGAAGAAAGAGACGTCGTACGATGGGCACTACTTGGATGGACAACGTCCCTAACTTGCCAGACCTGGCAGCCCTGTTCCATGACGTTCATACACGACCAAAATGCGATCTCGATGGGGATGCAGATGCGGCCGCACTTATGGAAGCAGAAGAAACCCCAGCTCTCGAGCTTCCGGAAACTGGCGAAGCGGCTGATATTTTGGGAGTGTTGAATGGGCACGCTTCGTCGAACAATCAGACTGGAGATCATGGTACTAGATCGAAGATAAAGGGCTCGGAACATAGAGAAACGGTTGTCGTCGAAGAAGGAATAGATCTTGTCGACTATGATGAAGGCCACTTCCCAGAACTTGGCGACTCGGAACAATTCGCTCCCGAGAGCGATCCAAACGGTGTTTTAGTGGGAAATGACAATATCATTATTTCAAGTATTTATCAAGAGAGCTGTGAGGGGATGGAGTGCCTTCCGAGTTTATCAAGTGACGATCCCGAAATGGGAAGCAGGCTGGACAGCCAGAAAGTTTTGCGATTATTTCTATCGTCTCGGAAGCTTTTCGAACCATGGTAAAACCTTTTGGGCTTCGTAATAGTTTGCGGTAGCGTCCGCTATACGGTCAAACAGTATAACCTCCTGAGAGATATACCGTCTTGGGTTTCTCCATCTATTAAGTTCCCATCTTATTCCACCGTGCAGAGGACTCTCTTTCAGCATGCTTTGAAGTATCTTTTTCCTAAGAGTGACCTCAAGTACTTTGTCGTCCGACGAAAGAAGAAGGCATTCAACCAAACGTTATTGGTTGAAAATTTGGGGGGTAACGAGGAGACTGCATCGCAATATTCGAACGGGTCTAAAACTCCTGTTCGTATCGTTCCACCAAGTGAATGGGCAAAAGCGGACATCATGATGGCTCCGTTCTTCAACTCAATGTATCCGAAATCCAGTCGATGGCATGGTGAAGTGGCGGACGCAGAATGCATAGAAAGCTCGAAGCTGGTTGCAGAGCGGCAGATAATATCGCAAGCTACGACAGCACTTTACGTCCACAATGGTTCATGTACTGTGCAGGCGTTCCCGGGTGCCGTGATTCGACTGGAATTGTCAGAACTGCTTCCATCACGTTTGTCACTTGACGTGCGCAAGCTGGGCTATCGTGTTCATGAGAACGCAGAGAATAACATTGTAATGAAGTGTATAATTTCAGCCGTGTGATGCGTGGGAAGTGAGGGAAATGTTACAAGCGCCAACATGGCGATGAAGGTTCTCCGTGGCGTGGAGAATTGCCTGGCCAGGCAGTTTTGTACAGCACCGCCATTGGAAAAGTATAATAGATCTGTGAGGCGTAGAGATGGAGGGATAGATTTTGAAGCAAGGGCTCGTTCTTCGAAGAAAGTGTTGCCTGGGGATATTTGTACCCTCCTTCGACCTACAGAAAGTGAAGTAGTGGCAACGTCGAGAATGTGTATGTTGGTTTCTAGGTTTTGGAAACACAAGGAAGGTCTCAGCTCAGACACTTTGTTTTGGTTTCAAAACATGAGTACAAACTGGGCCGGTCAGCGTTTCAATGATGGTGGCGATGGAACTCCAGACAAACCCTTCCGTCTGCTCGGTACTCAACATTTGAAAGGGCTGCCTTTCCTCCTCCAAGAGCCCAAAATATCGGGATGCACCCGCAACATTGACAGAAGAATGCAAAACAGCGGCCGCTTAATGGATGGAACAAAGTTCGTGGTCTATCGCGCTCTCCTATACTGCGATGACTTTTCCCCATTCTCTTCATTGTATCCGCAGGGTTCAGCAGGTGGATGCTACATGATCCCGCTTGGACTACCACCGCGAAGTCGTAACACGCGATCGTCTGTCAGAATCATTGGATTAACTCCTCCAGGTGTATCAACGAACAATATACTGCTCTCAATCATTCCAGACTTGGTTAAGTGTACAACAGAAGGTGTGGAAACACACACGCCTACCGGCGAGAGAGTAAGAATCTTTGTCGACGTTGTGGGTTTTGTGGCTGACTATCCAGCGGCCGCTGAAACATTGGATGTTATGGGACATACAGCAAATATGCCCTGCACTCTTTGTACATTTCGGAAGAACACCGGCGTCGGTGAGAGCGGATACGGCTATACGACAAAGGTCCATGCACACCGCACGGCGTCCTTGAGGTGCATGGAACGCCATGAAGCTCTTCGCAACAGCGAAATTGACAGTCGAGACACAAACCGGCTTGGTATGAAAGACAGCAACAAGGTTAGTGAAGAAAGTTCTCCTCTTATTGCATTGCAAAGGGAACTTGAGCGCGTACGAGTTGACATACCGTTAACAAGCGATAGAAAGCGTGTGGTGTCAGGACGTTTTGAGGCATATCGCTGCAACGTCGTCGCGCCTGACCATTTGCTGGCCGGTCTCGCGAAGACCGTTATCGAGGTAGGCTTCCACGTCATTAACCGACAAGGAAACGCGGCCGCGTTCAGGGCAAAAGCTGACATGGCAATATTCGGAGCCCTCCGAGACAATGGGTTGAAGAGGCAATCATCAGTTTTTAGTTCCAAGAATGAACTCAATTCCATGACTCTGTCAGGTGTGTTCTGTGTCCTTCTCGTGTGCGTTCCGGTTTTCTACCAACTGTTCCCGGGGATCCAGAGTGAAGAAACCACTGTTGTGTTGGATCTATTGACGCAATTGCAGGAATTGATGGCGTTGACGTACTGGTGGCCATCGGAAGAGGCGAATGGTGCCTCAGATTATTTGTATGTGACAAGTGATAATGGAGCTCAGTACCATGCAGACTTGCTGGAAAGGGCTGAGAAGTATGTGACTGAGGCAGACAAGTTTTGCGCAAATTATTGCCAAGGAGTGGGTAAAGGTCGCCCCAGCTTGGACAAGCCGAACCTGCACAGGTTAATGGAGTTGTACAACCACACAATTTCTGCCTTCGGGCATGTACGTCACTTTATGGAACTGGTGTTCGAGAATGCTCATCAACCTTTGAAGAGGTGCATAGTCCGGGGTAATCACCAAAAAGGACATTTAGCGGCCGTGGGTCATTGTTTGGGGAATGATTGGCAAGGGCGGTTGGCGTTGCTGTCCAGCACTATGACACAAACTTCGGATGCCGGACTGAAGATGGAATGCAGGAGAGGCCTTCGACGCTTGGTTCTCGGCGAAGCTTGCAACGAGTTGTCACAGGCTTCGGATGAATTGAAGGGATTCCTGAAGGACACAGAGGTTAGTATATCTGATTTATTTGTCAAACCGTTGATGGACGAGATGCGGTCGAATGGGAAGGTCAACCCCGCTTGGACGGGAGATTCCGTACAATGGGAGGGGAATTGTGAAAAGGATGTCAATGAGCTGTCCAGCTGTTGCATATCAGAAACAGAAACGATAGATTCATCTGAGCTTTTGTCGCAGCTTTTGTCACGGGCTACAAACATCCTGGAAAATCTCCGTCCAGAATTTGATACGTCAAAGAAGTCGGAAGTCAAGTTGTTCTCGTGTGCTCGGCGCGTTCGAAGAAGCTACTTGAGTGCGTCCCCACGGACGTACTCGCATGACACGATTGAGCCGGGATGTGTCGTCCAGGTTATGTTACCGCGCGGAGGGACGAAGGGATTGCTTTTGCATGCAAATAGGGCGGTCGGATCGTCATTGAACCTGTTAGCAGTTGTTGGGGTCTTGCGCAGAGAGGACGAGAGTCCTCACGCGGCTGTCGTAAGATGCAGAGTGGATGATCGTAAAACTCTGAGGATATCCGCGGAACTGAACTCAGAGTCTATACAGGTGCTCTGTGTCACTGATGGCGTCCGTCGCGTGGCGCTGTACCACGCCTGCTCAGCCAACTCCTGTCACGTATCGAGGGACAACTCCATCAAACACTCTGCCAATGTTTTGAGTGGCGGGGCATTCTACTTTCAGACGAGGAGAAAAGGTTACCCTGCAAGAATGGCATGAAGGAGATAGGGACCTGGTGTTTCAGACGCTGGAAAACCTAATTATTCGCGGAGTGGCGTTTTCTACTGGAAAATTATCAGATTTCAGCACCCATCCCATCTGAATTGAAATTGGGCGGACTTCTGGTTACACGTCTCGCCGATCGCGTCAAGAGTT